ACAAAATTATAGATTTTTTATTCTGACAACTGTTGAACAGTATTCAGAAAACAAAGTCTGACATTTAAATACCAAATACTGTTTATACCATTGTCGTCTTCTTGTAACAGTTCACACGAATCTAGAATCTTCTGGTACAATTTTTGTTAATTTTTTTTGGCTAAATTGACAGTAAGCAAGATTCTTATCATAGTTCTGTTCAACAGTTTGTTGAAAAATGTAAAAATATTTATAAACTTACCTATTGAAATAAGAGTTTATCATTTTGATTTTAAACATAACGTTTTGATAATAAAGTTATTAAATTTTAGAAAATTGTCTTTTTATTCTTAAGACAGATAATTTTAATTTCAGTTGCCTTTTCTTGAATTCCAATAAAACATGCGAATATTGGAAGATTTTTGCAAAAAGCATAACTGTATAATTCGTAACAGGAGAAAATCTGTTGAAAACCAAAAGAATTAAAAAATACTTTCAAAAATTTCAATTTTTTTTGTAAGAATTTGCTTCAAAAAGAGGGATAATTAAGGCATTAAACAAACTGTCGAGCAAAAATCTTATATTTTTTTTTCATTTTTTTTTTCGCTCGTTTTAGAAAGCACAAATAATTAAATGCATAAGGTCAGATAGCAACTAGAATTAACTGGTAAATAATAACAGGAAAAATTTCTTTTTACCAAAATTTCAAATATTTGTGTTCAAAAAAAGTACGAATCTTCAGTATCTATTCGTTTTAGAATAAATTGCTTAGTTTTTTTCATTTTTATTTATTAAAATTAGTTTTTTCTAGAGAAAAGTGTTACTGCCAAATGCTTCAAAAAACAATCAAAAGTATAAGACGCGTTTGATAGAATTGTTCAACATCTTAAAAAATACAGTTTGGTTACTGTAGAAACTTTATTTCTACAAACCGAAATCTTAAGTTTTATCATCTTTATAAATACTACAAAGGTACCATTACCCTTTTGCTATCAAAATCGCAACGCATATAGCTGCAGTTTTTTTGCAGAACACTGTTTTAATTGATTTATTTCTACATTTTTTTTTTT